TGCTTCGACTGGTTCCGGCAGCAGGACGAGAGACGCCTGTTGCGCTCGGCTCTGATTGGCGGATTCTTCGTGTACCCGCCCCCTCCCGTCTCCTTGGAAGCGTACATGAGACACAGGCAAGGTCTGCTGACTGACGTCACCGTGCTTGATAAGGCATTTGAGCAGGTTCCTCTGTCCTCCTCCCCAACTTCCTTCCTTTCTTTCCTTTCTCTTTTCTTCCCTTACTTCTTTGCACTCTTTCTTCTTCTACTCCTTTCCTTTCATTCCTCTCATCTCTTACATATTTCCTTCCTTTCTGTCTTTCTTAATGTCCTTCCTTCTTTCCTTCGTGCCCTTTTTTCCAGGGGAGCCCGGTTTCCTCCAGGGGATGGAGCTTCTGAGAGAGATCAAGAAACTTTGTTACAGGGAGCGACGCACCTTCTGTATTCAGGCCACCGTTACCATGGTTACGTATTGTCACAGAGGAGAGGTACGCACACGAAGGCGAGCACCAGTAATGACACTGATTGATTGTTTATGTATAATCATTACAGTGGTCAACAGCAGTGAAAACCTGATATGCTAGAGAAAGAAAATTAGGGCAGATTTTTGACTCGGTGCAAAAAAAAATACCATATTGGTCCGAATATAGGACGGTGTTTTTTGCATTGAAATAAGACTGAAAAAGTGGGGGTCGTCTTATATTCGGGGTCGAGACATTATACTCATTCACGACGCTAGATGGCGCCAGATATCATTGAAGCGAATGCTGAACTTGACTCCCCAGGCCAAAGTGAACCCCTGCCACGAAGATTAAAAATAAAAATAGCAGTAGCGCGAAGAAGAACAAAATAGCGGTAAGAAGGAAAAGAGAAGAAAATAATAGAAGAGATAACAGAAAATTGAGAAACGTAGTGACAATCTGGAGAAAAGTGGGTCGAAGATCGGCCAGGTTAACTGGCAGCTGAGGAGAAGTTATGATGTAATTGACATTTCAAAAACCACAGGCCATTCATTTACGAATGTGATTTCACTTTAGATTTGAATGAGGCAAAATAACATGCTTTTTCTCTCAAATATATTGTTATAATCATTGGTTTCAGATGTACTGTCATTATTTTCTGTATAAAAATTAATTTGGTGTTCAAAAAGTCTTTTTTCAAACTTGAGTCTTGAAAAAGAGGGGGTCGTCTTATAATCAGGGCCGTCTTATATTCGGGCCAATACGGTAATCTCGGAAATTTTACTTGCATCTCTGAAAAAAATGGAAACATTTGTTGACCAGCATAACTGGGTGCCACTTGCTTTGATTCATATTTTAGGAGGAGCGTTGCATCTTTTGGCGAGATGTGTCTTCGTCTCTGTCCTCCACCTCACCCACCTCGCCAGCGTTGTCGTCCAGGCTTTTGCTATCGTCGGCTCTCAATCAGTCGACGCCCCGGCGGCTGCCATCTCCCACCGGTGTCAGGTAACAGCATTTCCTGCCTCGGCTTTCTCGATTAAAACCGCCACGTTCGTGTTTGTGCGCAGCAGGCCGTGCAAAAGGAAGCTGCTGCTGCACTCGGACACGCCGCAAAAGGGGTGAGACTGAGACACGCCTCTCACGTTAAAAAGGAAGCACTACGATTAGTCGGACCGATGACGTTGTTCTTGGGTCTCTCTGCAGACGTCCCCGTGCGACCGTCCAACCCGAAGCCAGCAACAAGACAGGTGTGTCTGTGTGGATGTAACACAACATGACATTGTTAGCGTGCGTGCGTGTGCTAAACGTGTCATTTTGTGGCAGCCATTCTTTTCGAGGCTTCCATGGAGTTCCTCCAAGACGCGGACGACAACGGCGAAGACGAAGCAGAGGAGGACGAGGACAGCTTGTCGTACGCCACCTGCCCGTCGCCGCCGGATTTCCCTCATGTCGCCATGGAGACGCTAGCCATGCGCTACGACCCCGCCCATGAGAAAAAACAGGCGGTTGCCGTGGCGATGGGAGGGACCCTGACCTGTGCTGCCCTCTTCGCCAGCGAGGACTACTACACGCTCAAGCTTAAAGGTGTGTGATGTCAGAGAGCGGGCCGGCTTCCTTTCATCCTTCTTTCCTTTCTGCTTTCCTTACTTCCTTATTTCTTTCTTTGACTGCTTTCCCTTTTCCTTCTTCTGTCCTTCCTTCAGATCTTCATTCTTTCCTTATTTTTATATTGTCATATTTGCGTTGCTGAATAAAACCCTTGCTTCAGGTCCCAGGGATTGACCTGCAAAAAAATAAAATACAATTAAAAAAATAAAAATAAAAAAAATTACCCTACTAAGACCTCAGGTAACGCCCAATCACGGTTCACCTGTTTTCTGGGTTTGATGATGTAACATTCGCAAGCAGAGGCCGTTGGTAACGTGATGTAATTTCCAGTTGACAAGTGGCAAAATGGCCGCCCCTGAGATGGACAAGAACGAGGCGTTTTTTTTGCTGCTTAATTCATGTTCCACAAATCCAATATGTGAACGCCGTCTAGCGGGGGTCCATATAACATATTAGTGGAGCGAAGATTTTTTTACTTGACTTCCCCTTTAATCCTTTCCTTGACTTTGTTTCTATCATCTTTCCTTTTCCTCATTCCTTTTTTTCCCCCTCCTTACTTTTATTCCTTTTCCACTATCCTTTCTCATAAACACCCGCCGACTCGTAATGTGTGACGTCAACCCCCGCAGCTTTGTCGGATGGCGTGTGCATCGGCACCATCTTCCTCCCTCAGGCGTCCTCTTCCTCCCTTTCGCCACCGTCCCACTCCCACAGCAACACCTGGGCGTCCATCTTGTCCCACGGAGCCTTTTCATCCCACGCGCCCCCACCTTCGCCAGGTGCGTACGCTCACAAGCGCACGCCACACAAACTGACTCTCGGGGTGACAAAAGTTCCTGTGTCTCACCACCAGGGGACCTCATCGCTACGGCAACACTGCTTGCTAATCAAAGGCTGTTGTGCCTGCTGGATGTGTGTAATCTGGGCGGAGACCTCGACGAGGTGGTCATCAGCCGGGCCTTCCCGATGACCTGAGGACACCCATGTTTATTTTTTGAAATTTTGGTTTCCTCTCTGATCAGTGTCTCCTCACACTGTTTTGTTTGCTACGTGTGTGGCTGGAGGGGACGGGGAAGCGTGTGCTCTTGAGCAGTGTTTTTCAACCCTGGTGTGGCGCGGGAAAATATCCAATTTGTATGCCTGTGCAGTCTATCGCCCAAAAGGTAATCATGTAGTACCCTCCCATACCGCTAGGGAGCAGCAACAGCTAGCCAATTGCCTTGTGTTTAGACAGAGAGACAAGCGAATTTGTGACGCATGAATGCAGGACGACGGTGAAACAATAGATATGAAAGATGAGAAAATAGTTTTTTCTTTGTGTTCATTTGATTCCAATTCAAGCTGTTATAATGTCATTCTTCAATGCTAAAAACGGTTATAGTAACAATATAACACATTAATTATTCAAATTAGCGGGGTTTTTTTTCCACATTTTCAGCTAGTGGTGTGGAACAATATAACACATTAATTATTCAAATTAGCGGGGGGTTTTTCCACATTTTCAGCTAGTGGTGTGCCGCGAGATTTTTCCAATGAAAGAAGTGTGCCTTGGCTCAAAAAAGTTTGAAAAACACTACTCTAGAGCAAGAGAAAGTGTGCGAGAGAAAAAGAGGGAGTGATTGGGCTTGTCCAAAAAACGCAGCACTTCTCTCTTCGCTTCTTCCTCATCAATCGAGATTAATTGTCTTATCATAAATACATCGGCTGTGCGCGGGGTAGCTGGCCAGCAGCTCTCTGCAGGCTAACAGAAGCTACACTGTCAGAGCGGCGTAAAGTGAGACTAACACAAGTCTCTTTCGCTCTCTCAAAAGGCAATGCTGATGAATGTTCATTACTGTACAAAGTTTTATAATTAAAGATGGAAGTAAATATGTCTACTGCCGTAGTCTGTCTCAAATATGTAAACCAGGGGTACCCAAACTTTTTTGACCTACTTTTCGATCAACCAACCTCCCGCGATCGACCCGTTACCGCGCACGCGCGCATACGCACGCATGTACACGCGCATGCCGTGATGAGCAATAGCCTGACGCTGAGGCATGCGACGCAGCCTGTGAACAATCGTAGCTCACGCGTACCGTTTTAAAATGATTCTCTCAGCCCTCCAGACTCTCAATAGCCTGACGCTGAGGCATGCGACGCAGCCTGTTAACAATCATAGCTCACGCGTACCGTTTTAAAATGCTTCTCTCAGCCCTCCAGATTCCCATTCTTTGCCCGTGCCGTCG